AAAAAAAAAAAAAAAAAGAAAAGAAAAGAAGGAACATATCAAATTATTAAATAAATCTTATCAATCCTTTAAAATTCATTTCTAGTTTACAGAAATACATGCCAGGAATATAGCTCAGTGGTACACGCACCTGCTTGGCAAGTGCAAGGTCCTGAGTTTGATTCCCAGTCCTATAAACTAAAACAAAAACAAATCTACAGAAATACAAAGGCTAAAACAAAGGTGAGCATTCTGCACTCACTGGCCTAATTCCTCAGATGTAACAAAATGGGACTGTTTTAGAATAAATTATATTTTTAAAATGACTAAATATAATGCATGAACTGTGATTGAACCCTGATTCTCAAAAATCAATTTAAAAATTCATATTGGGGAAATTTGAATACAAACTTAAATTAGATGATACTAACAAATGACTATTTTCTTCAGTGTGAAAGCTGTATTATCATTATTTAGGCAAATGTTCTTATTCCCAGGAGATACATGCTGAATACTGAAGTGGTTAGGTGTAAAAAACCTAGTGTAATTTGGAGTGCTTCATATAGATTTTCTGCCAAAGTAACTACAACAAAACGTTAGCAATTGTTTAATCAAGATTAAGTGAATACAAGAATCATGGTTATGTTGTTTATATTTTTCCATATGCTTGAAGATTTCTGTAAAAAAAAAATAATAACAAAACAGTTGAAAAACAGCTTTAAAAACAACAGATGAAGGTCTACACCGACCCCAAGAGTGAATACTGGAATTGTCATGGTGAGAGTGCGGTGGTGTGAGAAAAAGTCCGCACAGGCTTCAGGCCTTCAGTGGCTGCGTGACAATGAGAGTCAGCTCAAAGAGATGCTCCGCCTGCGCCAGGTGAACCTGTCGGGAGGCAGCACCCAGGGACCACAGGGAACCCTACCAATGCCCAGAATCAGCCTACATTTGATGCCTGTGTTGATGAGTTGCTTTACTCATACCTATTGTCCTAGAGCAAGGGCATCTCACCAACAGCCATCCATGATCCAACAGAACTAATGCCAATCCATAGTTCAAGATCATTTTACCCTAGGAGATTCACCCTATTAGGAAAACCTAGTTTTCATCAGCTCAGAACACTCACCAATCCCATAGGAAAGATTGGGCCAAGCATGATGGAGCATGCCTATAATCTCAGCACTCGGGAGGCTCAGGCAGGAGGAGTGCTATGAGTTCAAGGCCAACCTGGGCTCCATAGCAAGACCTTGTTTCACAAACAACAAGGGGTGGGGGCGTGGTTCAGAGTGAAGGCCCTGGGCTCTGTCCCCAGGACCACACATGAAGGATGGGGACCTGATTAGTCCTCCTGTCCTCCAGTGCCTGGGCTAAATGGAACCATTTAGGTATTTCTCCTACAGTCAGGACTCACTAAAACCTACCAAGGTGACATAGAGAAACATTCAAACACCTTCCTAAAGGAAGCTGGCATAGAAATGGCCTGAAAAAACATGTCACTTCTCACCAAACACCCTTCAGTTCCCACAAATCTGGGATGACAGTAAATGAACCATGAGAGGAAGTAGAAACCACAGATACCATGGTCACTCGGAGGGGAAAATTGACAAGACAAGCCTCCGTGCAGAAAAGCTGCATTCCCAAGGTCTCAAGGCTCCTTTGCTTCCTGTTTTCTCAATATCTTTCTGTTCTCTGAAAATGTGACTAAATCCAGAAAACAAACTGTTAAGAATATTTCATCTATCCTCAGAGTCCTCCATGAGTATCATAATGTAGCCAAAAGATGTGTATAATTCCTACAGCAGGGATTTTATAATTCTGCTTGGAAAAAAAAAAATTTTAATTAAATGAGATTAATGAGTTGGAAATAGAATATACCACTTAATTATGTTAGTAACAATTCAGACATACATAAGCCAAAGGGTGGTGGCAATCAACAGCCAGTAGATACAGTAATGCTGTGTGCATGTGAACGTTGGAATCTCATTGGCCTGGTGCCCCAGCCAGCCAGTCAGTCCAGAATTACAGTCTCCCACGAAGTTCTCCCAAGAGCCTCTGGAAGTCCCTGAAGGGGACTTACATGCAAAGATGAATCAGCATGCCCTTCCCAGCTGGCCCGTAGCTCTGCATACTAGAGCTGCTAACACACCCTCCACCAGGCCTGAGAGTTGGGGCTCCTTTATACTGTCATGGAGCCTTCAGAACAAACCCCAGCCTCTATGCTGTGTCTGCTGAGCTGATTAGAGACTCTTTCTACAACACAACCACCAGCCCCTGATGCTCACCACTACCAAGCCCCAATCCCTCCCAAGGGGAAGAGGGGAATGGTACCCTTTGTCCTTCGCAGGTTTGCTTTGGACCCCAAAGCATTACAGGGTCTACTTGAGCATGTCATCTAGCTATGGCACCTGCCCCCCACCAAGGGTGCCCAGGGACCTTGGCAATGCACCTCTCTGGTGACCTGGCCTACTGCTGTCTCTGGCTCACCCTGCCAGCTAATTGAACCTTCAGTGACTTCTTCCTGAAGAAGCCGGACTGCTTTCCTGAAACATGGCTGCAGTCGGAACCCCAAGAGGATCAGCGAGACAGCACATGCCTGACCCCATTTCCAAGTGTGGTTTAAGCATTCTTCACAGTTCATTGGCTCCCGGGTAAGTCATCAGATGGAAATACTCAGGTGGGAGGAAGGGTGTTACCCAGCTCCACATCTCACAAGTTCACGTCTCACTCAGCCCCTGCCCAGATGCAATCTAAGATATAGATACATAATGTATTTTATTTCTTATTCAAGAAGGGAACTTCAAAATTGTAAACAGTACCCACATTAAAAAGGAAGTGTGTAAACCACTCAGTTCCCCGCCCCATTTACAATAGTTGCAGGGATAAAATGTTGTTTCTCTCTCCTACTTGAATTTCTAAGGACATTGCCGCTCAACTCTCTACGCAGACATGGATGATTCTTGAAGACGCTGCACTAAGTGAAATAAGCCAGTCACAAAAGGGCAAATACTAGGCTGGGGATGTAGCTCAGCAGCACAAGAGCCTGCTTGGCAAGCACAAGGTCCTGAGTTTGATTCCCCATATCAAAAAATAGGACAAATACTGTACCACTCCAAATAGATGAGGTACCCCGGAATGGTCCAACTCAGGTTGCCAGAGGCAAGGGAAGGGGGAGAATGGGAGGTGTTGCCTAATGGGTAGAGAGTTTCAGTTTTACAAAATAAAAAAGCTTTGGAGATGGATGGTGGTGATGGTTGTACTTTAGGCCCCCACATACCTAACCGTGCTTAACATGGTACATTTTGTTGTGTATGTTTTACTACAATAATAAACAAATAATAAATGTATGACCTCTTCAGGGAGTGGGAAGGAGATGGAACAGTAGCAGCAGAAGCAGAAGAGAGGTGAATAGAGGTAAGGGATTAATCCAGACTTGGAAAGCCAGATAGGGATTTGCCTGGGCTCCCATAAAAGCACCATCCACAGACAAGGCTAAGCAGAACGTGAAGAAGGCTGAAGGAAAAGAGAAACAGACTTTGTTTTCCTGGCGTGGTGCAGAGTGATAACTATTCCTCCTAGGAATTCAGCATATTACTTTTGAAAACACTTCCACAAGTGACCTAACTTTCCGAGTTAGGTCAGTGTGGGAGGTGACGGTCAGGAGTCAGGCCCTGGGACCACAGACAGCAGTGGCTGCCCCTGCCCAAGGGAGCCCCACGGCCCCTGTATTCACCAGTGAGAAGCCTCCAGAAGGGACCTGACTAACCTACAGGTATGAACTAGAAAGAGCCGAGACGGTACCTATTTCTCTTAACTCCCAGAGCCCATTCCACAGCCCAAGATGACTTAAATCAGAATGAAACGGAAAAAAATAATTCCCTACCACGTCCAAGAATGAAAGGATCCCTACGGTAGGTGAGCACTGCAAAGACAAAAGGATATAATTTGGGGGTATATTTTAAACTTTACAGCATCCTCCCACCTCTGCCTCTGACTAAAAAAGTGAATAAAAACAGAATGTGGGGTGAGAAGTCATCTGACTCACCCATGAGGTGGTAGAGAAGAATCCATAAGCAAAACACCCTGCATTTACTTCAAATACTTGTCTCACTCTGCCGGGCTTGGCTGCCCGCCCTCTGTGTACGCTCCAGGGGCCCTCCTTTGGGGATGTGGCCAGAGCCCTATTTTAGGACAGAAGCAGCCCAGGTCATGTGGCTGGTAAGCTAGAATTTAAAAGGACATACACAAAGACCACATAAGCCATCGGGCCACCATGGTAGGCTGGAGGTTAAGTGGGGGCTAAGCGTGCTCTGGGCCTCTCTGACACAGCGCAGTCTTTGCATGGTCCCTATGTCCTGAGATGTTCCAGGAAAAAAACAGCGACGTTGCCTTGCAAGAGAAAGCACGTGGCCCCAGAGGTGAACCAGGGACATCCTCTGAGGTGCCAAGAAGGTGCTGGAGCAGCCAAGCTCACACTGACAGACAGGTCTGTGTGTGCTGGAGAAACCCGTTCCGCAGCTAGGATTCCTTGCCCACAAGGGAAGTGAGCTAATGATCAAGGCGTTTCACCTTCTGCCTGCATGCGTCATAAAATCAACTTGTCGAGCCTGGCTCAGGGAATACATTTGCTCACCCAAATGTGGTTCCGTGGGGCTGTGTGGCCTTTCACAGAGGGTGAGCTCCCAGGTTTTCTCTGTGCCAGGAACAGGGCCAGTGGCCTGAGCCTGACAGCCGATCTGAGCTGCGGTCAAATCCGCTGACAGGCAGCCCAGTGCTGTGGCATCTGCTCCACATCTGGGACGGGTGATTCACCAACCACTCTCTCCCCGATCCCTACTTTCCCATGCAGGCCTACGCATGCACGGCCCACAGAGCCAAGGCCCCGGTGCCCAGACTTGTCCCTCCACCCAAGCAGCGCTTGTCCTTATCTCCAACACAGCCATCCCCTCCCTGGTAGTTTCAGTCTGATCCACCAGCTGCAGGTTCAGAAGAAAACCTGTCTAGACCTTCTCAGACCTCAGACCCAGCCTGAACTATTGTCAGAGGCTTCCGGGCTGGGTTGGATTCAAGGTCTCCTGGATACTGAGGCTTGCTCTGGCCCTTTAAATTAGCAGGCCTCCACTCCCACTATGCCCAGCTGCCCCACCAGGGTGAGCCACAAGCAGCACATGTTCTAGCCAGTCCTGTTTACCCTGGACCTACTATTTTTGTGCTCACCTCCCTGGTTCTCAGATTCTTGGCTCTGCAACCCAGCTGCCACGGCTACTTCTGGCCCTTTACTTGGTGAACCTTGGACTTTCCTTTTTAGACCACAGCCTCTCACATGTTTCTGACTCAACTGGTTCCAGCAGTGCCAACTTTCCTCTCGATCTCAGGTGAGGACTCCATGGTTTAGCCCTATCTCTGGGCGCCTGCTCAGCCTACAAGAGGCAATAAAGGAAGGATTTGTTCCTGTGGTCACTGCCTGGCTTCTGACCTTCAATCTTACCCCTTAGTTCCAGCACTGGGGCTTTCCTGGCCATGGCCCCAGATGCTGGCTCCTTATGGACACTGCTCCCTGGAAACTTTCACCTGGGGCAGCTATAGCCTGGGCTCAGCTTCCGGTTTCAAATTGACTTTGCCCGGATTACCCCAAACCCATTCCCCACATTCTCCCTTGGAGAGCAGAGCCAGCTGGGGAGGCCCAAAGGCTTCTCAGAGCTGTGGAGATAGATCAAAGGGCAAAGGGCAGTGCAGCCTCGAGCAGAGCCCCGGGGACAGAGGTGGGGGACGGTGACACACCTCTGTGAACTTTCCTGTCTGGAGATGCAGTGACTGTTTATGAGGAGAAGCCTAGTGAAGCAGCAGAAGTCAAGGCCCTTGACTGTCTGAATTGGGAAAGTGGGGGATATGTTCCAGGTGACATCTCAGGCCACCTCCCAGTTCCTGACCCCTGGAAGCTAGGAGGGGTCAAGGAGCAGAAGGAACCCTTGGGCTCCTATGACTCAGACCCTTTTTCTTGTCTGCCAGCCAGACTTGTGTGACTTCAGCAACCTGTGTGTCATGGATGCACCACTTCTACTCCTCCACCAACAAACAAATGAGTCCGGAACTAAGGTTGGCCACTTCCGGTGTCCGCATTCTCTCCAGTCCAGAAGATGCAGAAACAAGGGCCTGCTCCCTTCCTCTGCCTCTCCACCTCTCACCACCTTCTTCCTGAGGGCCCAGGACTCAAAGGTTATTTCCCCTAAAAGCTAAGCAGGCCACTTGGATTTCTTTTCCAGAAGCTTCAAAGATGGAGAGCTCTGTGCTTAATGGGAATCTCCTGTGGTAGGAAGGTGAGGAGCAAGGCTGTGGTACCTGACCCCCAGGGGGGATTCCAGCTCTGCCTCTTGTTGGTGGGGTGACCCTGGACAAGGGGCTTAACTTTTCTATGCATGCTTCCTCATCTCTACAATTGAGGCAGTAATGATCCCCACCTCCTGCGTTGTTGTAAGGATTATATGCATTAATTCACGTAAGAATAATGCCTAGTATGTACTGTGTGACAATGCTACCAGCTCTTATTTATTATTTACTCTGTAAGAGGCCTTATTCTAAATATCTTACATCCAATAATTCATTTTTCCAAAGCAAAGTGAAACAAAGACAGAGTGACCATTCCATAATTCTATTTTAAAGTATTGTTAATGCTTATTGTAAATAGGGGCAAGAGGGTAATTCCTTCATTCTAATAATTTTTTTTTTTTTTTTGTCTTTTTGAGACAGGGTCTTGCTATGCAGTTCAGGCTGGCCTTGAGCTCACTTTGTAGCCCAGGCTGGTCTCGAATTCGCAAGGTTCTTCCTGCCTCAGCCTCACGAGTGCTGGAGCACACCATCACACTACAGCTGCACACCATCACACCCAGCCTCCTCATTCTCATTTAAATCATTATTAATATTTATAGTATAAGCCCCATCAATAAAAGTTGAGATGCATTATCAAAATCTATCATAATTTCTGCTACTCTAAAAAATCCTGGCCTTAAGTTTTATGCATGATTTTCATACCTGGTCAAACAATAAACTAAATTGAAATAGATTAGCAAATTTCCCCACCAGAAAACATTAATGTGGTGTGTAAAGATCATAAAAATAGAACACCAAGAGGATAGAAACTGATGACGCCTGTTATAGGGACATACACCTATGTCATAGTATGTAATAATATAGACACAGTTCTGTATCTTTTGACTTACCATTAAATCATGAATGGTTTCCATGTGGTTGTACAATGTAGTCTTTGAAATCATTCTTTCAGTGCCCACAGAATAACCCCTTTAGATGAATTACCATAATGGAACTGACCTCATTATGGGATAGTGGTAGGTTTTTATTGTCATGAAGGATTCTATAGTAAACATCTTAGCACAAGTGACTTTTTCTTTCTTCTACATTATTTCTTAGGCTAATTTTCAGAGGTGGAGTTACCAGGTCAAAGAGGCAAATTAAAGCTTTTTACAGCTGTCATTGCTTCCATCATTTCCTGCATTCCTCAGATGCAATTACTAGACAGTCTCTTCAAGGGACTAAACACACCTGGGAAAAACAGGAAGCAGAGGGGCTGGGGATTTAGCTCAGCGGCAAAGCACCTGCCTGGCAAGCGCAAGGTCGTGAGTTCGGTTCCCGGTACCGGAGAAAAACCAAAAAAAAAAAAAAAAACAGGAAGCAGAAAGGGGCTAACACTTGCTATTATATCAGGCATCATACAGGCTTTAAGTTGAAACGCCAATGTGCTACTGATCAAACTTGCCCAGATTTGCATCATTGTTCTTATTCTGGCCATTTAGGAAGATATTCACCAAGCACCACTCTAGAAGCTTCATTCACTCAATCTTGTTTCTTCCTCAGAACTACAATCTGAAAAAGGTATTATCATCTCCATTTTATAAAAGAAGATGCAGATGCTCAAAGAGAATAAGCCAAGATCCCATACATCATGAATGAGAGGATCCGGACTGAACACCCCATCCAAGTTCAAGCATATTCTTTTTCTGCTCTGCTACATGGGCCCCATTTCTCACTCTTACAGGGGCAGATTGGGATTTTCACTCTCTGCTCTGGACAAATACAGAGGATCCTGGAGATATGGGTTGGAGGGAAGGTCAATCTGCAGGGTTTCTCTGACAAGGACTGATCACTCCTGGCCCTCAGGCTACAGCGTGTTTCTCCTTTCTTTCTTGCTAGAAAGCATAGTGTTCAAGGTGATTTTGTTTTGTACCTGTAAAATAGAGGACTGGCCGCCTATCAAAGATACTGACCAAGGACTCATTCATGGTCCTTTCAAGCTAAGTATCTTTTAGAGCAGTTGTGATTCAACCTGAGCATATGGAATGGTGCCATCCTTATGTTAGAGCAGTTCTCCCATGGAATTATATTTTCTGGTCTAACATTTACCAACTTTTTGAATATTTCACTATCTCAATTAAGTCATCTAATTCAGTCTATATTAAATCTAGCCCTTTGCCCTACTTCAAGGGACCTGCATTATTTTCTCTGCATGTTTTGAAATGCTATCTCTCAAACACTCTGAATTCTGAAAATTCCTGATGTTGTCCAATGATGCCTCTGGGCCATTCACATCCTGATCTCCTAGGATTGCACAGGAACCAGACGGAAGTGAGACTCTAGCTGGAGAGGCTTATGGAAAGAAAGAAGTTGGCATCTACTCAGACCAAGGAAACTGGGTTTGGTGAAATGTTTGGAGCCACTGCTGGCTGTAGCAGGAGATGATCTTGATGACTCCATGTACTGAGTTCTGCAGTGTGTAGAACTAGGCTAAGTGGTCATTTGTCAGGCATCTTTCCGATGCAACTGATAGAAATCTCACTAGCTAGAGGAGAGGAGGAATTATTGGTCCCAGCCCAAAATTCCAGAGATAGTTTTCAACTTTCCCTGGATCCAAGTGTTTATATGATATCACCAGGAAACTGTGCCCATCTCTTTGATTTGCTTCCTCTCTCCAGAGAGGTAATGAGATGGCTACCAGTAACTGTAGCTTATTTTCCACAGAAACTCCAGTGAAGAATTTCCTAATTGTCCCATCAAAAGTCCTAGAAACTCCAGTGAAGAATTCCCTAGTTGTCCCATCAGAAGTCCTAGAAATTCCAGTGAAGAATTCCCTAGTTGTCCCATCAAAAGTCTTTGTTTTATACACACACACTCTCCAAGAGGAGGCTCCCTGCAAATAGAGGACTGGCCACTAATCAAAGATGCTGACCAAGGACTCATTCATTGCCCTTTGAAGCTAAGTATCTTTTAGAACAGGACAGCCTCTCTGTTGTCCCGAATAGGTTTATGTAGAGAACATCTCTAGCCTGACCTCCAAATCCACACCACTCTTTTCTCTACAGCTGAGAGATTGATCCGCATGGACACACACGGGTCCTTTTCCCCTAAGCTCTCTTTTTCTGCGGGGGAGTACTGTCAATAGGAAGAACAACGCGAGACTGGAGGAAGGGGGCAGAATGAAGCTAGGAAGTTCTTTTCCCCCACCAATCCCTTTTGCCTGCAGATCCACCCCTCCTCCAGTAATGGCTTGCAAATCTTGCCTCTACACAGAGGGATGGAATCAATGCCTCTACCATGAGTGGTCCATAAAAATCTACCTTTATGGTTTTCTATACTCGTCAACACCTCTGTGGAAGGGTTATTTGGTAATCCAGTTTGGAAGTATCGTCTGTTTCCGGAATCTTGACTGATACATCTAACATATCCAACCCTTAATCAAATCCATGTTTTTCATTGGGCAGACCTGAGTTACACTCCTGCTCCTAGAACAAAGGTCTGAAATCAGCTCCATCTAAGCCACAAGTACTGAGAGTGGAGGAGGGATAGTGTCCCAAAGGAATGGACAAAAACAATTTACTATTACTACATTTAGCAAAATAGTTAAGAAAGAATTCTTCAGCCAGGCGTGGTGGTGCACACCCGTAATCCCAGCACTAGGGAGGCTGAGGCAGGAAGATTGTTGTGAGTTCAAGCTAAATCGTGGAAGCAACCCAAATGTCCATCCACTGAGGAATGGATAAAAATGTTATGGTATTTTTATATAATGGAATATCACTCAACTATAAAGAAAGATAAACTCAAGGCTTTTATAGGTAAATAGTCACAACTAGAGACCATACTCATAAGTGAAATAAATCAGACCCACATGTGTAAATGTATTGTCTCACTAGTGTAAGAACCTGAAAGACTGAATAAAATTAAGAGATATATTAGACACTGTGAAATGAAAGGAAAATGCTCAAAAGTAAAGAATAACTGGGATGAGGGAAAACAGAAAAGAAAGAAGGGGAAAATTATGTTGGTATGAATATACAGGATAGCTAACATAGTAGTACTACTGACTTCTATTGCTTTACTAAAAGGAAAAGTTAATGATTACTTACTTGACAAATCTTACGTGTCTATATTTGTTTTCCTGAGTAACCACTTTGAGGAAATCAATATGTAATACAACAACCATTGTTAATTTCTTATCACCTTGTCTGAATTTCAGTATTGCTTGTATTGTTCTTGTTATTTGGTAAATGTATGTGTGTTTGTTAATATGCTTTCATTCTTTTATTTTTTTTTAAATAAAAAAAGTAAAGAGCAACTGGGATGAGGGAAAAGACAAAAGAAAGAAGGGGAAATTATGTTTATATGTATATACAGGACAGCTAACATAGATGTACTACTGACCTCTATCACTTTATTGAAAGGAACAGTTGGGCCAGGGATATAGCTCAGCGGCACAAGCACTTGCCTGGCAAGCCTGAGGTCATGAGTTGGATTTTCGTTACCAAAAAAATAAAAAGAAAGTGAAAGAAGGTTAATGATTAGTTCTTTGATCAATCTTATATGTCTATGTTTGTTTGCCTGAGTAACCACTTTGAAGAAATCAATATGTAATACAACAACTATTTTTAATTTCCTATCACCTCATCTGAATTTCAGTTTTGCTTGTATTGCTCTTGTGTTATTTTGCAAATGTATGTGTGTTTGTTAATATGTTTTCATTCTTTTATTTCTTTAAATTTAAAAAAATGTATAATAAAAAAAAAAACAGCCTGGGCTACAAAGTGAATTCAAGGCCAGCCTGAACTGCATTACCAGACCTTGTCTCAAAAAGACAAAAAAAAAAAAAAAAAAAAAATCTTATCAGTTGTAAGCTACACACACGTTCTTCAGAAGCAACCCCTACATGAAAATAAAGGTAGTTTCATTTTGTAAATGGGATAAAGAGGAGGGACTTAAGGGAGGGTAGGGAAATGGGGAAAAAAAAGAATCAAGTTATATCATGTACAGGTACAAATCTTTTATGATGAATGTGACCATTATGTATATCTAAAATGTACCCCAAAAATCTGATAAAAAAATAAAATAAAATAGTTTCAGAGAGTAACTGCATGCTGGAACAACATCCAGGACGCCTTTCATCCATGTACACTGAAATCAATGCCTCCTAAAGATCTGGCTACTCATTTTCTGAGCTCCAGGCCTGTTGACAACTCTCTTCTGAAACAAATTGAAATTTCTATCATCGATTCACGTTGAAATGTCATAAAGCAGCTTAAGCCTGGGCTAGCTGAGCAATAAGGCAAGCCCTCTTGGCAACTCAAATGAGCTGCCCCTGACAGAAGGACAGGGGACGAGGCATTAAACAGTGCCAAGAATGGACAATTTGGAAGCTGCCTAGTGCCAGGGATGACAAGGCCAAAATCATAACCACTTTGAAAAATATGACATCAGTTGAAGGATAAACATAAAATGAGACAATGGCAACCTCATTGCAGAGCTGTAGAACATTTAGTCTGATACTCCATAAAAACCCTACCACCTAGCAAGGATTTCTTTTTGTATATGATTACCCTTATTATAATGACTGGCTCTACTACAGGTGAGTCCCATTACAGGAAAGCCACAGATCACTACCTTAGTGGATCTCAGCTTTTCTGCCCTTTTTTTTCCATTAACTAGAAGGCTAGTGGTACAGATCATAGTTTCCTCCTCTTCCAACTCCATGTTTTTGTTTTGTTTTGTTTTGTTTATTACTTAAGTTTATTGGTACATTTTAGGTATACATAATTATCACATTCATCATAGGGAATTTGTACCTGTACATGATATAACTTGATTCTTTTTTCCCCAGTCCTCTATCCTCCTATCAACTCTCTTTCCCTCCTTATTTACAAAAGCTTTGTTTCCACTATTTTCTTCTTTTCTCATTTTTTTCTCTTCCCTCCCTTCCTTTCATCCTCCCTGCTCCCTAGGTTCCCTTCCCATTTGAACATTTGCTTCCTATTTCATAATATCTATTACACATTTTGGTCCTCATTTATACTTTCAAGTTCTCACAGCAGAGAAACAATTTAGTATTTACATATGTGTGTCTGGTTTATTTCACTTAAAAGTGAGGACTTAAAGTGCATATATTTAACTAGAAATGTCTCAAGTTTATCCTTCTTTATGATACAGAGTACTCCATTGTATTAAAACAAAAAACACACACATCTTCTTTATCCATTCATGAGTTGGTGGGTATTTGGGTTGTTTCCAAGATTTAGCTATTATAAACTGTGTTGTTACAAACATGGGCGTGCATATATCACTATGGCAAGATGCTTTTAATTCTTTCAGGAAGATACCAAGAAGGGGAATGAAACCTCTAGTCCTAGTATTTTTTTTTTTTGAGAACTCTCCACACTGATTTCCACAGTGGTTGCACCAGTCTACACTCCCATCAACAGTAGAGAAGAATTCTTTGTTCCCCACACCCTCACAAGCATTCATTATTGGTTGATTTTTTGATAATAGCCATTCTTTCTGAGGTAAAATGGAATCTCAGCATTGTTTTAATTTGCATCTCTTGAATGACCAGCGACATTTGACATTTGTTCATATATTTATTTGCTGTTTCCACTTCTGTATCTGAGAAGTGTCTATTCATTTCAGATGCCATTTTGGGGATGGGTCTTTAAATCTGGGGGGTCTGACTGTTGTGAGTTCTTTATATATTCTAGATAGTAGTCCTTTGCCTGAGGAACAGCTGGCAAAAAAATTTTCCTACATTATGAGCTATCTCTTCACTCTTTCGGTAGTTTCTCTTGCTGTACAAAAGCTGTTTAATAAAATGAGATCTCAGTTGTTAATTCTTTGTGATATTACCTGTGCAATTGGGGTTTTGTTCATAACATCTTTGCCAACACCTATGTCTTCAAGAGTTCTACCCATTCTCTCTTGCAACAGATTTAGTGTTTCTGTTTTAATATTTAGATCATTGATCCATTTTGATTTTAGTTTAGAGCTTGGTAAAAAAATATGGGTCTAGTTGTATTTCTTTTTTGTTTTGTTTTGTTTTTTTGGTTTTTTGGTTTTTTCCAGTACTGGGAATCGAACTCATGACCTT